CATAAAGAGGACCTGTCACATATTTTGCTATCACATAAGGGGGTTTTCTAACCCCCCTATGTGATAGCAATAAAGTTTCCCCCCAAAAATGTAAAGTTACAAATAAAAAAAATTACATTTTTTTTTTTAAAGTCCCCCCCCATACATACACGCATGCAAACAGGCATCGGGTGCGCATACGTGTGAAAACGACGATTTCGCCCATTGCGCCGCACATGTTACATATCGCTGCGAACGTCGGAATGAGAGCAATAATTGTAGGGCTATCAATCACTGATAACACTAAACTGATGAGTGGTAAAAGCTTTTAAAGCGTCACCTATGGTCAATTTTGGGCATGGTAATATTTTGCGGGTGCGCGCAATTTTAAAGCATGGCATGTTTGTCTATTTACCCGACGTGACCCCGACTTTTATATTTTACCAAAAATATGGGTGATAAATGGGTGTGGTTACTGGGGGTGTGGCCACTAAAGGGTGTGACCACTGAGGGGTGTGGTCACTGAGGGGCGCTGTAAAGCTTTCTCGCACAGGGCGCCTAAGGCCGGCCCTGGTTACACATATCTTCAACATAACAACAAAGGTACCTTTTAGAAATGTTTAGCAATGACAATCTACAAACAGATACTTGTAGATAATTGCAGAATTTTTATTTTTTGCATACCTTTTCTTTTCTTCCCCAGTCTTCTCACAGTGGTCATTTTAACTAAGGGCAGATTACCAGATCTGGAACACTGGCACACGTGACTAGGACATGAGACCATGCACATCATCTCAGGGGAGGAAAATGCCTTTTCCCCGAGAGATCTAGAGATTACAGATGAGATTTCCCAGCAATGCTCTTCTTATGTAACCTTCCCAAGATGGAAACAATTAAATAATTTGTGCCATAGTGGACCAGGAAGTGGGGAAAAAAAAAAGAAATTGTAGGTAAAATAGAATTAGCTTTGTTTAGCTAATAAATATAAGATGGTTTCATATCAGCATGCAGAGCTGTATGCTGATGTGATTTTGTTTTTTAGTCAAATGGGGTAAAGGTTTGCTTTACTCCACCTATGTCTGTCCTTAAAAGAGAACTATGGGGTAACCTTTTTATCCCATAGTTCTCTTAAGGGTCACAGCAGGACATATACTAACTTCCTCCGGTGACCCAAAGCTCAGTATATAGCAAGCTATATACCGAGATCGCCGCAGCCGGGACAGATCCCGACAATACTGTTGAGATCCACCCATCTTCCCCATCCGTTCCTTCACTCAGCGCTCGAGGATCAGAGAGGGGAAGGGAGATCCCTGCAGGGAGATGATCGGGAAGTGAGCGAGTGCCGGTATGTGTTCTCTCACTTCCTGATCTACTGAGCCGTCCTGTGACATTCTTTGTCACACATCGGCTCTCAACATGAGGATGAGTGAAAATCACTCACCTCATAGTTCTCCTTTAATAAATTGGGCCGCCCGTGCCTACTCCTTAGTCAATTGGGCCGCCCGTGCCTACTCCCTAGTCAATTGGGCCGCCCGTGCCTACTCCCTATTCTTTAGGGTAAGTCAAAAAATAATTAACACAGAGGTAACCTGCTTCCCTTTCAGGATCCAGGACATCCGCCAATTCATCGTCAGCGCCCGACCGGCCATGGCTGCCACAGGCTTTGTGTTGATGACTACGTTCCCAAACAAGGAGTTGACGGATGAGGACCAGACTCTGAAAGAAGCTAACCTTCTAAATGCCGTCATTGTGCAGCGGTTAATATGAAACCTACCCCCACCCCACCTCCCCCCCTGACCCAGGCTTTCTATTCCATTTCCCCAAAACACACTGCGCTCCCCTCTGCTGGTGACATAGTCATTCTGTCTTGTAGTCCTGGGATCTCAATGCTTTTCAGGTGGACTTCTCTCTAGACGTACATTTTGCAGGATTTGTTATGAGTTGGACTTCAAAACGATAAATAAATAGGAAACAAATGTCTAATTGCAGTGTAATATTTTCTGCAAGTGTTAACGTGTTTCGTCCCTTTTAAACTTATTGGCTTTCTGGGATGTGTGGAACTCCGGGATTCGTTTTGCTTAACTACGGATTATAATCCACAATTTGTCTGACGTTTTTGCATTTGAATGTAAAGTTATAGGTCCCTTCTCCGGAACGCTTGGCAGGTGGGTGTCCGTATTGCTATTTAAAGGGCCAGTATCAATAAAAATGAAAGCATTATTAGTTCTCATCTCTGTACAGGGATGGGATATGTAACATTCTTATTTTGCTGTGCATTTTTGGTGTTTGGCTACATTAAAGCATCTTTGGAGTAAAGTGTGTTTTAAAGAAGCCCTGTCGCCAGACCATTCATTGGTAAAAACTATCTTCCCATAAGGTACATTTACTGTATTCTATGCATGCAAATCTCCCTTGTGTAGACATCCAAATGCACAGAGAGTTCTCCTTGAAGCCACCATCTTGGATGAGATGTCAGAAACCCCAGCAGACCCAGGGCTGTCACTGAGGTGACACTGTAGCAGAGCTAGGCAAATGTTGGCACTCCAGCTGTGGCAAAACTACAAATCCCACCATTCATCTGCCTCTGGGAGTCATGCTTGTGGCTGTCAGTCTTGCAATGCTTTGTGTGATTTGTAGTTGCACCACAGCTGCAGGGCTGAAGTTTCCCTACCCCTGCATTTATAGTATTCTCCTTTCACTCCTTCACTGGCAGCTACAGAAAAGGTTAAGTAGGGAGCTGAGGGGTAGTGGTGGAGGAGCTGTGCCAGCACAGAAAGTTACTACACACTCCCAGAAGAGTAGATGGCAGTGATGTGCAAGGAGAGAGGGGCTGTACACACGTCGGCTCTATAGCTCGGGAAGTGAGTGAACACATACCGTCGCTCGCTCACTTCTTGATTCTGTCTCTGCAGAGAGCCGAGACTGTCACTCACGGCTCCCTGCAGGGATTTCCCCCTTCCATCCTCCAGCGCTGACTGGGGTGAGGGGCCAGCTGTCACTCACGCAGCTGGGCGGATCTCGACAGTAATGTCAGGCTGCGGCGGCGGTGGTATACTGAGCTTAGGGTGACGGGAGGATGGTAGTTTATGTCCTCCTGTGACCCTGAGGAGAACTATAGGGAAAAGCACTGACCCCCGTAGTTCTCCTTTTTAAGGGTAACATTTTTCCTAGCAAGGTTTGTGGCACAAAAAAAAATGTATGGTACTGAAAAAAAAACAAATACCTCCAGGTAAGAATTTAAAATACAGTTTTTGAAGCTGAGAAAGTCAATATATTTATATAGGTGCTTCCTTTTTTTTTTATTTTTCCCCCCTTCCATAATCTTACAACATACAACATTTATACAAAAATAAAGGTGCTTCCTTAACCCCAGGCCCTTAGGCCCCGTTCACATGTAGCGAATTATCGTGCGATTTCGCGCATTTTTGCCGCGAGAAGTCGCAGGCCAATGCTATTCAATGGAGCTGTCTTAACTCCATGTCGCTCGTCGCGGTCGCAAGTCGCTTCTCCCGGACCCTTTTTTCGGCGGATTTTGCGCGATTTTGCCCTTTTTCTATGGAGCCCGACGGAGAAGGTCGCGCTACCGTCGCTGGAACGTCGCCCCGAAAGTCGCGCTATCCCGGCCGTGCGGATCCGCTGCAAAAGGTATGTCGCTACGTGTGAATGGGGTCTTAGAGTGCAAGTAATCCTCCGGCCTCTGTTTTCTCACTATGGGAGAAATGGCCCCTGGCCGTCCTACCTCTTCCTTGTAGTTTAGAGTAGGACGGCGATGTGCTGTTTTCTGTGAGGGCCAAATTCCAGCTTACCCATTGCACTCCTGACCGAATAATACCCTTAGAGTCGGGTGGGTGCCAAAGTGACTCCGGATGCCCCTGCAATCCAAAATAAGTGTAAAGTCAATCGCACTCCAATAGAATTTCAAGTCAAATAAACGGTTTCTTGACTCGATTGCTATCGCACTTCATAGCACTTGATAGCGATCGAGTCAATAAACCGTTTTTGACTTGAAAATTCTATTGGAGTGCGAGGGACTTTATACATACAATTTGTCTGTGAGGCGGGTGCAATCTCCACAGCACCCGGTCATGGCCTGTCCACAAACAGCCCTTAGCATGGCCGGCAGTGAATTTCCATGGTATCATGGGGCTATGTAGTTTCCTTTTTCGCTGCATTGTGCAACACCAGCCTAGATATACCCCCCGCGCACCGCGCAGTGAAGTAAAATGATGGTAAGGAGCCGATGGCTTCACATAAAAAAAAAAGTATACTCCCAAAGTGCGGCCTTTTCTTTACTACTTTTATAAGCATTTTGAAAAGGGTGTAAAGGGGTCCTGGAGGTCAGCTTTAACTGTACCTTAAGTTAGTGACGGGTGTTCCTTTTTTAAGGAACATTAGTGCGTTGGGGAAGGCACACTGGTGTGAAGGGGGCCTAACACTCACTGAGCAGTTTATCGCGCAATTTCTGCTGCAAAATTGTGCATATTTCATATGTGCGTATCGCTCTATGTAGCTTGTCCAATGGAGCTGTTCACAGCTCATTGTCGCTTGTACATGACCTTTTTGTTTTTTTTTGGCGGATGTCACGCGATTCGGCCCCAATAGACTCGATGGTGTTGGCGCAAAATCGCGCATTACCGGCGATATCTCGTGACACTAGGGTCACTTTTTCACTGCAAAATGTAAGGAAAAAATGATGCGGCATCAAGATCGTTGTTGATTGGTTACAGCAATGCAGTCCCGCCCACAAAACACGCTATGTAGCGCGATAAAATGTGCACTGTCGCTCAATATCGTGCAATGTAGCTCAAAGCATTTCACCACGAAATCGTGCCGAGAAACGCGCAATATCCATGTCGCTCAGTGTGAATGGGGTCTTAATGTGACAACTGATTGCATTAAGGGCAGGAAGTTAGCTGTGTGCTGTAAAATATTTCCTCCATACTCCTCTATAGAGCAGGGGTTAGGCAACATCTGCACTCCAGCTGCGGTTATACTACAAGTCCCAGGAGGCATTGGAAAACTCTGACAGCCACAGGCTTAACTTTGAGGCACGGGCGTGAAGGGATTTGTAGTTTAATCACAGCCGGAGTGCCGAGGTCGCCTTTTCTAAATGTTATAAAAAGCGCATTGATTGGAGGCAGCCTGTGATCCTGGGGTACTGAGGAATCTGCCCCCATGGTGGGTTTCTGTTCTCTCTCTCGAGCTGTTTGAGAGGGGTGTCTCTCACAGGAAGGCCGGGGGTAAGGGGAATTTTTCCCGATAGGTATTCCTGAGAATCCGAAGCTGCCTTGCAACACCACATAGGCAAACCTGCTTGCGTGCCATTTTGCAGTATATGAAATCTCATGAGCTTGGTAATGTCATCTCAAAAGTAGTTTTCAATATTGAAAAATCTGCAGCTTTCGTTAGTAAAAATCATTGGCGATTCTGCCAGGAAGGTTCTTTGTTTAGGCACTTCCTGTTAGATTTTGAGTGTTGTTGTCACCCCCCATATCTGCGGAGTGTGGGCTTGTGTTGTCACACTGGGTTCGTGATGGAGACATGACTCCGCTTTCAAGAAACGTCACACAGACATGTTGTAGCCATCAGAAAACCGGCCATGAGCAATGCTGTCCTGCAAGGGTTGCCAACCTCTGGCCCTCCAGCTATGGTGAAACTACAAATCCCATGATGCATCTCCCTGGGAGACATGTCTGAGAATCTTGCAATGCCTCATGGGATTTGTAGTTCCACCACAGCTGGAGTTGGCTCCCTCTGCTGTACTGCCAGACAGGAATTCGCTGCAAGAGATTGAGCTTCAATTAACAGGAAGTGATTTTTTTTAATGGTTTTATTAAAAACCTGCCAATTGTTTATAACACTCAATGGTTTAGCAAATGTAATATTATTCTGATAAACATTTATTATATTTGAATGCAGTTTAATTCTTTTTTAAAACTCGAATATATATGCTATACGCACACCACCATTTTAAACTTATGTCAACTGCTGTGGAATCACAAGTCCCAGAATGAATGGAAAGCCAGGTCCCTGTACCCACAGCACGGCTCGTGGCTGCTCCACCCCTATGGCAACACAACAAAGAGCTCCTTCATCATCGAGCCTCCCCAGTCACATGACTTTTTCCCCTGAGGCGTCCATCTTTACTACGGGAACCCCACCCTCCCCCGCGGCCTGCTAACAGTATCCAGCATTGAAGAGGGCGGCGCGGCAAACAAAGTGTCCGCTGGCGTGCCTCGACGGTGTGACGTCGCCGCCGGCAGGAAGCCTATGGGCGAACGAGCCTGGGCGACACGTGACCCCCAGCTGGCTGACGTCACGGCGTGTTTAGCGGTTTCACCTCAGCGCGGCGTCGCCTTCTGTTCGTCAGTGAAAAGCAGCAAACGGAGATCGGAATGGGAGTAACGGTGGACTGTATCAGCAACGGGGACGGTAATGTGGCCGCCTGTGACTACGGGGGTGCCGGGAGTGAGGGAGGAGTTGCCGGTGGGGGGGGCGCAGGTTCGCATTTCAGGTTAGTTTTAACCTTTGTCTGGCCGGGGCCGCTGAGGCCTATAGTCCTTCGGCGGCTGGAGGGCCCCTTGGTCGTAGGGTGGAGAACAATGGCGGCTGAGGGAGCGCACGGCTCGGCACTGGAGGCAACGGGCCAGGGCACTGAGGAGACGGGGCGGCGCCATATTGTACGGAGGGAACGATAGGAAACCCCTTACAGGGCTCTCCCTCAGTCAGCGTCACCCGCGGCCTTTCCGCGTGCCGTAACGTGCGTTATCCAGCTAAGTATATTTTTTTCGAACGTTAAAATGCATTCATGCTATTTAGCTTTTTTTTTTTTTTTTTTTTTTTTAGCTCAGCATTTTTTTTAATGTTACCTGTTGAGTCCCTTGTAGCTCGAAAAAGTAGCTTTTTTTTGTTCTTTTTTGACAGAATTGCTTATTTTTGTCCCCATAGACTTCAATGGGCGCACCTGCAAAATGGGTGACTTCACGCCTAACAACCGCCTCCTAAGGGAGTGAAAATCTGTAGCGGGGATATAAATACCAGAAAGGAAGTGAGTGAAAATCTGTAGTGGGGGCACAGACCAAAAATACCAGGCAGGAAGTGAGTGAAAATAGCGGGGACACAGACCAAAAATACCAGGCAGGAAGTGCGTGAAAATCTGTAGCGGGGAAACAGACAAAAAATAGCAGGCAAGAAGTGCGTGAAAATCTGTAGCAGGGACACGGGGATATAAATACCAGAAAGGAAGTACGTGAAAATCTGTAGCGGGGAAACGGACAAAAAATACCAGGCAGGAAGTGCGTGAAAATCTGTAGCGGGGATATAAATACCAGAAAGGAAGTGCGTGAAAATCTGTAGCGGGGGCACAGACAAAAAATACCAGGCAGGAAGTGCGTGAAAATCTGTAGCGGGGAAACAGACGGATTAAGAAATACCAGATGGGAAGTGAGTGAGAATCTGTAATGGGGACACAGACGGAATAAAAAAACCAGACCGGAAGTGAGAGGTGCTCTAACAGGGACACAGTTTCCTGTTCCCCTCACTTTCTGTCTGGTAAAATGACCTTTGCAGTGGAACTTCCCCTGCACTAGGGTGGAAATGGTTGTTTGTGTGTCTGGGGTGTCAGGTAAAGCAGTCTTGCTTCCCTAATCCTCACTCTCAGTCCTCTGTCTCCCCCCACGCTGCGACCGGTGGACTCTCCCTCGGCATCCTCATGTA